TTGGAATCAATGGGACCACACAGTATGCAACTGATATGACTGTTCATAGTCACACCACCCTCGTTTGAACGGGCGTACTCCTGTTCTGGCGTAATTATTCCGGTGAGTCCACACACCAAAGGGTAGCACTGGACTCGAGTTTCGCTCTTATTAGAGCTCATGGGCAGTGCATATCCGATGATATGATGTGTCGAACCAGCAGTCTTCTGTGCCTTGTGGTCTCTTGTCAACAGTCCCTATCTTATGCCATTTTGTTCGTTCGCGTTGCGAGTTCTTTGTAATGTCCCTTAATTTCCTCCTTTTCACATTTTATTATTGCAGAATGCAGCTGGTAAATCTGTCGCTGTGCCCTGCCACATAATGTGGTTTATATGTTTGGATCTTCATTCCAGTTGCGTTTATTTGGCTATATTCGTTGTTTTTCTTCGATGAGCTTGAGCAAAATGCATAAGTTAGCTGTGCTGCAGCGTATTTTATACTCACTCGCACAGGAGCTGAGCTTGCCTTTTTTGGAGTGTTTACAATGAGGCCGTGAAAAGGTACTGAGGGATGTGCCCTTACTAGCGAGTGCATTTTAGTATACTACTGAAAAGGGTTTCATGTTACGCTGCTGTTTTTCCTCGAAACCGCATTCTGCTTGTCATTATCTCAGCTTATTTCCTTCCAAAAGATCTTTCATCTTTCTACTGATAGTTTATCTTCAGCTGTTTTGTTCGTGCACGAATCAACTCACCCAAATACAAATGTTAAGGCAGTTGTTTGCTAGATGCTGACCAGCTGAAAAGAGATGGCGGAAAGGGTGATGATACGAAGTGTCGTAAGGAACGGGCAGCTATGCAGGGGCGTTACTTGCAGTGTCATTAATTACTAATGAGTTGAGTCCGGGGGTCTCTTCAAAGAAGCGGCAGTTGTCAATTCGACGGAGTTTACTGATCAGGACTTTCACGCTTTGTTGCTCAGTCATAAAACGTCCACCTCTCGGTTGGTTCCTTCCATCAAAAAGTTGAACGAACGAGCTGTTCTAGACAGACGACAGTCTTGCATTCGAATGGTATGTCCTACTTGGCGTAGCTTGTCAAGTGTGAGTTATTCTTCCATCATTGGAGACTTCGTTCTTCCTAAAGCTATGTAGCATACATGACTGATGAAAATTTTCCACCAGATCCAACCAATGTTTCGGGTGCAGTGATGGTTAACCACTGGCAAATTTGTAACTAACCAGGACGTTGCAGAATGTCTTCCATTCTTGTTGCTTCTCTGGTTATTTTCGGGCCTCCGCCTGGCCCTCACCGTTGTGCGACAGTAGGGCTTAAGAGATAAAGATCGGCTTTAATGTCTTGGGGTGTATCTTCAAGGAAGGATACCTTGGGGATCAGGAGCCCCTGCTTTTCTGATATCCGAGAATTTCACCAAGGGTGACTGTCTGAAACCTGTAACAATGGTGTCCCCTGACGCCATCAGTTACCGGTGTGCTGATGCGGGGTTAATTGCTCTTTTGGCGCCTGGCAAACTGAAATTATGGGCGATTCTATTGCTCTTTTGGCGCCTGGCAAACTGAAATGGGCGATTCTGTAGAGATTTACGCACAGAGCAGGACTCGAGCTACTCCAGGAAAAGAGCCCCAGAGACTTGCAGTACGTGAATGTTGTAGTGTTGACCCTTTCAGGTAATCTCAAAATATGAAATACCGTAAATTATCTAGTCGAATCCACTACTAGTTTTGAGAGGTCTCGCACAAAGTCGAAAGTTCCATTCCAAGAGTGAGTGAGCTGATTGCTAGTTACCGGCTTGGTAACTTAATAGTTCCTGCTGACTATTCCTGACGAGGTGATTGCTAGAATGGGAAAGGCTTATTCAGTTGCCAACTTGATCACTTGTGGAGACCGCTTACCTGTGCTGGCCTTTTCCCTATATCTGGATTCGGGTGTTGAATGCGCAAGTTGTCAGGCTGTAACACAACAAAGAGCTGTCAAAGGCTTGCTTCAAGATCTTGGCCACATTGGTATATACCGTCTGCCAGGGGAGGGGAGTTAATGACCCACTACGCCGGACACCTCCGTTGCAAGTCAATGAGGCCCTTGTATTCACACAAGTCCGTTTACTCTCCCGGCGCCGATGTTCTTCTGCGTTTTATCTTTTTAGTGTCCGCAGCCGTAGATTGTGGCGCTCACATGTACACGGCTGAAAAACTATACTTTTGTTGGATGGATCAGAATATACTGGAAGACATGAACTTCTCTATCCACCTGTATTTCTGTCATTGGTTTGAGTGGCCCCGCACAAATCCGTTTCGCTTTTATTGCACAGTCGCTGCTTGAAACGGTAACCGGCAGCAATTTTCGTCATCTTCCAGACACTCGTTCGTTAGTCATAGGCAGTATCTTCGACTTGACTAAATGGCTAATGGACTAGAGCAAAAAGCGAAAGTATCTGTCCGTTTTACCTTTACGAATCGAGCCCTTTGTTTTTGTTTCTACAGAGGATGGTCGCCCGAGGCACTTCCACACCACAACTGTACGTGTGCACCTCCCGAAAATTCGACAGATTACGATGTTCTGTCTGCAATGTACACGAAGCATCCGCTGGTAGACGTCCCACTGATCACGTCCAACAACACTCAAATTTGCATAAGCGCCGCGGATGTGGACGAGGCACAGTTTGTTTCGGTAGGTTACTCTCCTCTCAAATTGTTTACTCGTTTTCCGCACATATTTTCCACTTATTTTCATACATGAGGTGCAAGTCGGGAGCCCCCAAATCAACATCATCAACCTACGTAGCCAGAAGTCCGCCCCTATAAGGGGCGGCATGAGGGGTAGCCTTGCCAGTGGATTCGTCCTTGCAGTATTGTGCCACCTTCTTGGGGGTCCGTAAAATGGAGTAAAGCTCACTTTTGGGTACTGCGGAAAAGCTCAGTGTATCGCCTCAAACCCTGAAATTTCGTTTTATTGATGTCCGAGGGTAGACGGGATTTATACTTGACGAAAAAATGATCGTTCAGCTGTAGCACCCTTTCGGTGCGTAGCTGCCATGCCACCAGAATGAACCACGAGGGGTAGGATATTGCCGGCTTGCCCAAGCCTTGACCGGGCTACTTGCACATCCAGCTCACATACACGCACACAACTTTCAAGCTCCCTCCGGACAAAAAACCATGTCGACTGACGAAAAAAGCAATTGAATTCAGTTATCCCGTTTGCTTAAAGCTTGTGGATAGCTAAACGGACACTTTATAGTCGTAACGCTTGCACAGTTAATACTCACCATGTGTTTACAAATGAGGAACGTACGTCTTCGGTTCCGGACCCCCGGTTAAGAATTCGGATCACTAGTCTGCATCATGTCAATGGTATGGTGTTGTCGACTTTCGAAACCAAATACATTGTGTGCATTGCTCCAGGCAACTCCACACCTACCTTGTTGATATTGGTTTTTCAGCCACGGCAGTCTCCCATGTACTTTTCCAACTCCCTGTATGTTGCCGAAAATTCACCGTCGGTAGTTCTTTGCGTCAAATAGACATATTTTATTCACCTTTTCTCTGTCCACTGAACTATGTGCGAAAGGAATGTTACGTGCGTGGCATATCATGTGTCACGTGATGGAATCTACTTAATCCTGTGGTATCTGACGCACTACGGTAACTAGTTTGCTCGTTCGCTTAACAACATACACAGCCGGCTGTTCAGTCGGCGAAATCATCCCCAAAAAGTAAAACGTCAATTTATCGGCAATCAGTGTCACCAATGACCGGTTTTCGCTTGTTTGTCCTCCTCTTCCACTGACTTTACACACAAACGTTTTGGTACCTGTCGACTCTAGTAACTCCTCTAAGTAAGTACTGAAGGTCCACATTCCTGTGAACTTTTAAATTCCGCCTTCTACTCTAAGGATTCCGCACCATGTTTCTTGGTCGTTCTTGACTGTGCATGTTGCTTTGTCGTTGTCTGAGACACTCGGTCTTGTACAAAGAGAAAATCGACCAGTCACCAGCCTGATAAACCCAATGTTGATCGCTCCCATCCATTTCACGCACAGCTCTGTCTTTTCGGGAATAGTAGTATCACTGAAAGTACTTGCACAGTGGGACATTCAGGTAAACTTTATTAAAGCGTGTTGGTTTCATTGATATCGGCATCGGTGATGCGAAAATTGGTCACGTGGAGAGATGAAGATCTTTTTTACATCTAATGGCGGGCAGATAAACAGATATTCGATGTAGTAAGCAAGTCAGCTTCGATACTATTACTCGTACAAGCATATCGCCACTTGGGGTCGTCTTTCAGCTGTCACGTTCAAACTTGTGCTCAAGGTGTTGTCGGTGATCTGAAGTTTGGAGTATCCTAACTTCCAAACTCGTCTCCGGCTCCATAGAACAGCACTGGGCATATGGCAGGCCAAGATACGCAGCTTATTCTTATCCGGAATACTCGATGTTGAGCCCGGCCGGTCAGTGATGTATTCACAGGGAATACGAGATGATTATTAGTACCGCTGTGAAACATCTACAGGAATCCAGTTACTGGGGCGCGTACGCTTTGTTCGGCGTTAGGAATTCTACCCTCCCTCACACACTCCTCGTGCACTATTGGCATGCGAATTATCAGTTTTACCTTCAGAACACACAGGGGTATTCTTTAGTGACCTATGGAAGGCGAAACGCGTTTTTCAGTCAATTTTCCTTCTACTAGATTGCGAAGGTCGCCACTAGACACGTTTTCGACTCACAAATGACCAATACGAGTGTGACCTTGGTGCGTTTAACCAGGGTCGAATGGTTTTTACTTTTGGATTGACACCGTACCGAAATTTTATTAGCTTGGGGCGGGCTGTTAGTGTTCGCTTTGTTCACCTAGCTTGAGACATGTTTTGAAAATCATGGTGAACCTCGGTGAACGGATTAATTGTGAGTGTTCTCTGGCCTTTGAAAAGTCGGGTTGGAGCTACCATCTTCGTTTTACAGTCGGAATGTAGCGTTTCTCGACAGCTTTTACGTGTTTCGGTCTTTGTTATGTTTTATACCGATTGTCGAATTTCAGGTAGCTTTCATATGCCAACGGTTGTTTGGATAAACCACGAATCCTGACCGTGGATCTTACTGTGCATTCCACTTGTCATATTCACATCCACTTTGATGCAGTCTAATCAGTTCATCTGATATGTCGATTTGAGAATCGATCACAGCGGTATCTGCTTAGTTACCTGGGACCACAATTGGCAGTTCTGTAAACGTCTGCAGCTAGTCAGCGGTCTCCCAGGAACATCCCACGAAGGACTGCAGACGACCGAGACAAAGCAAGCTGGTGTCTTTGCTCTCCAAAATGAGACGGGAGCCTAAAGTCAGACAACTCTAACTTGTGTATGGAAAGGTTTTTGAGCACTCATTGAAATCACTGATATTAGACTTTACACAATCGCGTCTCAACATCTACAAAGAGCTTCTTGAGATCTTCCAACTGTTTACTAGACCGTACTCTCATCTTGCGCCAGGACGGCTGTCTGATTTTGTGCAGAAGCGCATTTCGACTAAGCCAGTTTTGCACGCTATTCAAAACCAAATGTGGTGCACTTCTATTCCGGATTTCGTCTACACTAAATCTCAGCCATGTACTCATAGCGGGAGTATCATTCATCTTTAACGATTCAGAACTTATCACTCCACCTTTTGTTTTCTTTCCCTCACCTGTACAACCATCTATCCCATCGACCCAATTGTTTACTTCAACTCGCACAATAACAGATGACAATCGATTGGAATAACATCTCTGCAGGTCGCTTTTCATGGGATTCGTTGCAATTCCGAAAAGTGTGCACCTTTTTGAACGGAACGTGGACAGGTGCGGACTGCGTCCCGTTCTACGTGCCTGACGTGTTCTTCCTCTCGTGCATCCTATTTATCTTCACGTTTGCTATCGCTGTCTACCTAAAATCAATGCGAACCTCATTATTCTTCCCGGCTCGAGTAAGTGCTACTGTCCAACTTATTCGCATCCACCCTCACCCCTTTCATTTCGCCCGACCTATTTATACTTGTTTTATGGAAACCGTGACCGTACTAGTATTCGAGGCTAAATGGAATATGTCGTGTGGTGTCTGCTGACAGGCACATCTAGCCAATCAGATTTCAGCATCCGTCCATAAATCATCGGTCTGAAAATTCCCGTGCCTGCATATTTGATTCTTCTAGAGACACTGTGAGGACAGCATAACCGATGGTCAGCGTGGTAAACTCTCGCCGGATTTCATCGCATCTTGTGGTGCGAGACAAGACTATCATCTATCTCTGAAAACTGTGGGATCAAACTCTCCCCTTGTTGTCGGCTCGCAGGCATCGCTTATGCAGACGATATCGCCCTCCTCGGTTCATGGCCTTTGTAGTAGCAAGCGACTAAAAGTTTCATAAGTAGTATGTGCTTGAATCTTGCAGGGTTAACTGTTGTAACAAGACCTCCCGAATCCGGGAATGCTCTGATCTCCCATTTTTGAGTAACCGGACTGGAACGAAAGTACAAATGATGCGTGGTTGACAGCTGATAGTCTGAATCAGTCTGGCCAGTAGGCCTGCAGCGTTCAAGTGCTGGAATAGATTCATCCGTTCGATAAATCCAATCTTGTTCAGGAGCATTCTTTGAGCCTTTAACCCTGTTAACTTGCACTCGGTTGAATTTTTCCGCTCTGCTTGGAATCGGGCATTAGTAGGTTTGAGTTTGGCACTTGGACGCGAAGGAATATATAGCGTATATCGAAATGTGTCCTCGAAAGGAATGCTTCATTTTTAGTAGGGATCATCTTAAACATGTACATTTGGTTATTGAATCGTTTTGCATTTTTTTCGGCGGAAACTCCATCGCAGGTAACGAAAATGCTCCTAGGATGTAGGTGCTGATGCTTGGATCTTTCGATCTCAGGCATGATCACATATAACGCGTAAATCGGCAGCTTGAAGACCAATATTCCGTCCGAACCTCATCTGGTTGTACTTTGTTGCTCGACATGTTGTGTTTTAGGGCAAACGCTGTCAGACATGCATGTAATTTCGTTAGCCAGATTGGGGCGTAAATGACCTGGCAATGAAAGCTGTCTGAAACAGCATCGCACCGATCACACGACCGTCTGACTCGTTTTTATCAGAGGCTGCCGCGCTGTAGGCGTCACCTGAGGGTATTAGCACGTCGCTAGGTAGCCGACATGTCACCGAAATGTTCAGACATGGAAAGAAGAACGGCCGTGACTGCTTAAAAAGGCGCCATCTGGAACTCACGTAACTGGATCACAAGAGTCGGACTGAATACTGTTTGAAGTTTCCTAGCCTTATCACGCCAAAACCCTTCTGTATTATTCAGCTTCACATTATTGGCCCATGAATCAGATTGTATATTCCTTTATATGCAACCGTTAAATCAACGGCAATGCTTGAGAAGGCAATCTGTCGTTAGATTACGAAATTCTTGGTATACTGAAATGTACTCAGACAGTTTTCTCAATCCAGGCTTCGGCGTCATTTCTCGTCATCCCGCCGAACAGCTCTCTATCCTTTAAGGCCAGAAGGAAGCTAAGAAATCAGTCGTATCCAGTGTAAACCGATATAGAGGGCAATGAGATGGCCAAGCATGAAAGCCACATTGCTGGACTCGCCGCGCAGTTATTGAAATGCTTACTAAAATGAACTGATGGACATTAAGTATATCAACGCAGTAAGTCATTGGCCGTACGTTTCCAGTAAACGAGTCCATATGGACGGCAACTATGAGGGACCATCGGTATTCGAGAAGGGAATGTACACTCCGAGTCTATTAAGCCTCTTGTTACTACATGATCTAGACTTGGGCAGCCTGGCAGTATCCACGTCCTCGTGTAACCTTCGGGTGGCATGACAACTAGGCACCGAAAGGGTGCTACAGTCGAACGATTTCTAGTGGCAAGACGCGAAGTCGCATGGTATTATTTCACGGACTAATCGATCGGAGCATGATTTTGTGAGTCTCATGTCCTATACTCAGGGTACGGGTTTTCTCGACAGTCCTTCACTCGAGCACTGAAGTGATGTGAGAGTCGACTGTGTTTTCGGATCCCCAAATGAGAATACAACCCATCCATTTGTGCATACTGGTGGTGAACGGCCCATGTGCATTTCCACCAAGGGCACCCAACAGCGTCTACTCTTCTAGAGTGACCTTAGGACTGGTCCAATGGGTGATCGTGCAAAGGGTGACGAAATTTAAGTCGTCCGGCCATTTTTCTATAAAAATTATCTACCTGACAGGGATATCAGTGCATTCCTATGGGAACCTGAAGGTAACCAGCGTCCAGTTTAAAATCAGAGGAAAAAAACGTATATGTTTAGCAACCAGTCTGAAGTTGATTGATCCTTTTTGCGGTGTTCTTTGAGTCTGCGCTTTCGCAAACGCAGTGAAACTGAAGTACAGCAAACAAGTATATTCTGGCTTTGCCTTGTAACCTGTGGGATTTCATTTTCCTAGAAGTAAGTACGCAAGTTGGTATGGTACAAATTCGGTCTCCTGTGTTCTATTGCATGCAAGTGATGTCTCTGCACTGCCATCATCAGGGGTATTTGTTTAGGAAAAACGAGCAAAGGGTTACTGTAGACTCAGGAAACGCATATGGAATAATTACAAGAGAAACAGCTATTGCAGGATAATCGCAAAGCAAACATCATTGCTAGTCGTACAAATTACTTTGTTCGAGTTCCCCTGTCCACACCATACACCTGTGTTTGTTTCACACTGATGGGCATCGGCGCTCGTCATCCAACCATCGATCAGTTACCCCGGCCGCAGTAGCCACGTGACTCCCATAGACCTGATCTTGTACAACACCGGTCCATTAGCACAACGGGGCTCTAGAAAAGTGCTTGGGTCTTCGGAATTAAGATTCTCACGTATTCTTGTCCTCTCTTTTCTACTGATGAAGACTTATGAGCAATATTCAACCATATCGACTTGTGAACCATATGTTTTATTTTAAGGCTCATGGACGTCACGTGACAGACCTTTTTAGGATCTAAATGTGTCTGTTTAATCAATGTGTCACTGCATCACTGCGATGAACACCTTTTAGCATATTAAGATAGTACTGACTAGTGATATCCCGAAAAAGGGTGAAACCGTTTGTGAGCTTTTTAGATCGATCTCGCAAGGAGCGCTGAGTTCATCATTTCCTTGTTCGCTCATCCCCACAGGTACGTGCAACAATTTCAGACTTTTCAGTGGTTATAGCGATCGCGCTGACTACACTGACGGACTTCTTTCTCGGTTTACACACGCCAAAATTAGAGGTTCCTCATGAATTTTCACCAACCGTCGGCTACCGGGTAAGTGCACTGTTGTGGTTCTTGGTTCTAAAACGTTTGTCATATTGGAACGTCGAATTTTGAGCATCCAGTGCTGTTGTCAGAAACCGAAACGCATACCACGACGGTTCGACACCAACAGAGAACAATCCACACTTTGCATTAGCTTAGGTTGACTTTGAGTTGCCTGGCGAATCTCGTCACTCTCCGAATGCTAGTACACTAATGAGTACGGAAGGTATCTCATCAAATACAGGGGAGAGTTGTTTGTTCTATTGTTCGCATCACCGACAAGTGTCTTGTTCATATGTCTACGCTATCATTTGCCTGTGACTTACCTCGCAGACATGGTTGTCGGCATTTTTTATGGGTTCCTCCATCGTTGTCTGCCATAATGAACGCCTGTACAGCTTAATCATTTCAGCATGCAGTTGTCAGTTCGTCGATCACACCAAGTCTTGCTAGATTTAATTTAAGAAGTCATTACTTGAAGCGCCAATCAACATCGAGTCTCATCTACGAATTGTCCCTGCTGCATACTGAATGGGGGCTAGGCGATCAATTGACTCCTAAAGCACTGCTCAAACCCACCAGACAACTCGAATGAAGCTTCATTTACAAAGAATAACTGTGATCAAAGCGCCTCACTTTTCCTCCAAGTCTTGCTGTTTAGAGGAGCTGGCAAAGAATATTCTCATGTTCTCTTCGGAGAATCCCTATTGAGTATCATTTTTTATTCGGTCGTAAGATGCTCTACAGGAAACTAGCAGTTTCTGGTGGCACATTCTTTGATGACGTGTTGCGCAGTTCTTGAAACCGATAGAAATCCACTTTACAGTCAACTGCTGTAAGCACCAAATTGTCGCAGTACGCAAACATATTTTTACCAACGGGCTGGAACATCCTTCCTCGTTATTCCTGGCAAAGTTAAGGGTTAGCATTTTTCCGATCCGGTCCACTCTGTCCACCATGTAATATATCCTTTTACTGCTGATGCTCTCGTGTTGATATACAACCAGCTTATACCGTATTTGTCTTTCCTGCAACAAGCGACGAGGCTGGATAATCCCTGCATTTAACGGAAATCCCTGGTGGTCTGCTCTTGTTGCCCTCGGTCCAGCCTTGGTTGCAACCATTCTCATTTTCATGGACCAGCAAATCACAGCTGTTATCGTGAATCGTCGAGAAAACAAACTCATAGTGAGTTCATCTTTCCTCATTCGGATTGTCGGTTCCCTCAGCATTCGTTTTGTTCCAGCCGAGCATACATTTGTGGTCTCGGAGTTACGCTTCCCTTCTGTCAGGTTTGTCAATCAACTATCAGGTTCAGATTTCCCTCGTGTGTTCGAGAGAACGGTACGGTTGATGTGTTTTCAGGTAAACAAATGAATACCATTCCAGTTCTGAGAACTAGGGTTTTATTCGTACTGTCTATCAAGAAAGGGTAGGAAATGGTTTGCTATGGCGTTAACCTCGGGTGCCCTTGTGAGTTTTTCAGCTGTTTCCTCATTATTATTCTGTGCCAAAACTGTATTTGTTTTATGCAGAAGATAGACTGTTATATCTGCTGATTCGCCAATCTGAGGTATCTGCTGCTGACCCGCTCCAGTGCCTAGTGTCGGAGAGAAACGACTCATGGAAGGGAACACAACAACTATATTCCAACAAAGCGGGTGCGAGAGCGTGAGTGCGTGCGAGTGCGAATGTACAACTGTCTTAAGCTATTCATTGGAGGGACACTGTCTGAACTCGATCCAATGCTGACGCACATGGTCCAGCTGCGACGAGCTGCATATTGCCGGGGCGTTGTCTGACTTTGATCAACACTGACTCGCGCTGTCTGGGTTTGATACAAGGCTGTGACGCGCTGCATACTGAGGGGGCGTTGTCTGTCTGGTCGACATCTAGCGGAGCTGAGAGTCTCGGTAGATTTCGGGCATCCAGTGGCTGCTTTCAGGAAGCGAACCTTCCTGATATAGACCATACTAAAAGGTCGAAATCGTTCGGTTGGAATGTTGTCATGACCACCTATCCTTGCATTTCATGCCCATTCCAGGTAACACGAAATCATTTTATGGACGGGTGTGACCTCTCTGGTGATTTATGATTTCCTGACCTCCTGGTTACAGCACTAGCGAGGCTCGTGTGTCTATATAGCTGAATCCTCTGTTCCTCTGTCCAGTGATGAATTACATTAGGTTGAAAACTCTTCCCTCTCCGGATTCCGCCTCTCCGTCACTACGTCTATCATTGGGTCATGCTGGCTGGACTTCATTCGTTTGCACATTAAACACCGGGCCGTCACGATTGTTGGCTTGTTTCTGTTTGATCTCAAGTGTGATGTTTTTGTGCGGGGTCATGCTGACCGTATCTGGAAGATAAGGTGCACAGCAATTCACTGTTAAACACCCCCAGTTCTACTGGACAGGTGCAATATGCATAATGACTACCAAACGTGCAGTTTGTAAAGAGGTGGAGCTATTTTGTGGTGGTGGGGGATTCATGTACCTCTGTGAACCGGGTTACCGAGATCCAAACAGATACAAGACTGAAGTCCGTATCCAAATCACTTGGTCCAAAGCCCGACCACAATTTATTGTATGACGAGCAACAGATCAGCATTTATCACAACTTCAACGTGAGAGATTGCGAGATAGCTCAGTGGTTTGTGCGCGAATTTACTCACCAGAAGGTCCGTGGTCCGATCCCGACCTCTACCTTTAACCCTCTCCTGTCTAGGCTTCAGAATCCTGGCAGTATCCCATACCTCTTACTTCATTCTGGTGACACGGTAGTTAGGCACCGGAAGGGTGCTACAGCTGAACAAATTTTATGTAGGACTGTGAGACTGTGTTGACGAAACCTCCAACTATTGTGTAATCTGATATGCGAAACTACGATTATCGCAGTCATTTCTCATTGTGGCTCATAGAGGTTTCCACCATAGCAGGATCGAGTTTTTTTAACAGAAGGTCGAACTATGGAGGTCCTAGTACCTCGGAGCATTTCCATGAACTAGAATGTCAAGTAAACTGTACTGTGTCAGCGTTTCACCCACGTTACGGAAGAGTCAACGTACCTGATGAGGCGGCTGCCAACGAATGGTAGCCATCTCTACCAGCAATATCAGGACTCGTTCAACGCATCCGTTATAACTGGGTTTTTGATTTTCACTATTGAGGGGTGGTCGTTCGTTTCCATCAATTTTGCTACTTTAAAGGGACTCATTTGATTCAGTGAGGCAGATGGGAACCCTAACAAGATGCCTTTAAAGTATCAAGCAGTACTGACTGTGTTCTATTGCAATAGGCTAGAAGATTTGGGAGACCTCTCTTCTCAGTTGGACGCGGAAAACCTAAACCTGACCAACGGGGTTATTCGCAATCATCTCATTCAGATTTTTGTGTCAGAAAAGTAATGACATCAAGGGTGAAACGAACGAGAAATTATGTTGGCTTTTTTGGGAACACTGCTTTAAGTGGTGACATTCTTCATTTGAAGAGAAGATTCACAACTTTAGATAGCTCAGTGGTTAGGGAGCGAACTTACTGGATCAAAGTGTGAACCCAGTCTGTGCATCAGCTCCCGTCTAGGCTTGGGTAACCTGGAGGTATTTCGTCCGTCTTGGCCCCCTCAGATAGCAGGACATCCTGGTACTGGATGGGCATCATAGACATGTGGCTCATTCTCAATTCACTTTGACAAAAGGCCGTACGTATACAGTTAGACCAGCCTTATTTCCATTTGCTGCGATCAGTTTCAGCGCTTACATTCGGTTCGGGGGCTAACCTTCTTTGTTTCTCACAATAAAATGAAGATCTGTCGATTTTACGGGTGTGTACACCATACAATTGACATAAACTGCCTACGTCGGTCACTCCATCAATCTCAACTCGGCTTCAACTATGCTAAAACAATAGCAGTTAGTGAACTTGACCGGTGCCGTACGTCGCAGGAAAACAGCGCCAGCGTATTTTCTGAGATCTAAAACGCCTTCCCCATGGATTTACGGGTTCGGTGTTGGTTAAATTTCTTTCGGAGTAACATTGAATTTGATAAATCAATCACCTAGCTCTTAGAAACTTGTTTGTGGTCCGTACGCTGTATGTTTGTGAGACATCGCATCTGCGGACAGGTAATTTGAGGCGTCTCCGGGTTGGGACCGCTGATGTCTCAGAAGTAATGCGTTTGTCAGATGCCGTCAACAAATTCGTAACGAGGAAATTAGAAACCGGGTATTTGGTTTACTAGAAGGTACGGAAACTATGCAGTGGCCTACAACTCCGTTGGCTTGGCCGCTTGCTACGCCTACCGAATTATCTTCTGCCGAGAGGATTTTTTTACACGCCTCTGAGTGTGTCCGCCTGCATGGTAGACTTGACAGAAGGGTGTAAAAGCGATTATGGAGGGCTTAGGTGTTTCCGATGCGGTTCGCCTTCCAGGATAGGCTCTCATTATCTTCCTCTGCACCTCATTGGAGACGTTGCGAGAAATCGTGGCTAATCGACGTCAGTGGCGCTCGTGCTGTCAGTTTCTTTCTGACTGAACACTTGGAGGTATAGGAACCTCAGAACATTTGGAATAGGCCAGCACCAGGTCCTCTCCCTCATACACCAATACCCCTTTTTCTCTTCTTTTTAATATAATTAGATAAACTTTGTGGTTCATGGCAGTGAAGCGTCAGTGTCAACACTGATGTTGCCGTCCTTGATGCTTATGATGGCATATTTACTTATGGTGCCAGTTTGCAGTTTGAGGCAAAATGATTACTGTCCTCCAGATTTATCTGTCAATTTCCTTTCTTTATTGAACATACCAGAAAGGTGCGGGCTATCACTTGGACCTTCTACTTGTTTCGGTTACCATCATGATCAACTCGATTTTGGGGATCCCCTGGTTCGTGGCGGCTACCGTTCTGTCCATCAATCACGTCCTGTCTCTCAAAAAAGAGTCGGAAGCAAGTGCTCCTGGGGAGCGACCTGTTTATCTTGGTTGCAGGTAGGTGATTTCTGAAGTAATTTCGTTTTTATCTTGATCGACTGAAGCTACTCTACGGAACCGCTCCGTTGGCATATGGATATCCGGAAGCAGTTCTCTTGAAGTTGTGCATTTCTTTACTCTGTCTGTTCTTTGTTACCATCCGTCTGCTAAAAAACGTCCAGAGAACTTAGTTCACTTCAATTCAACGTTGCTAGTCCTATGGACTCCAACTTCTGGTATGAATACTACTTATATTAATGGCCCAACTATTTTATCTGACTTCCGTGTTGAATGCAGCTCCGTAGTATTGGGCCTTGAAGTAAAACACTTGGAGCGTATATCACTACCATAATTGGTAAATGACGGCAACAGCAGAACAGAGATCAGCATAGTTGTCCAAAGCTCGACATCGACTGAACTGTCGTTTGACCATGTTCAGCCTACGGTCGAATTCCCTTTATTCTAAGTGTCTAATGCTCTGTGACTTTTGACTAACCACTGAAAGTGATATCAACTAACTGAAACCTCCAAGAGAAACAACCGGTGCCTTTTCGACTAGCAGAACGTGATCTGGGAACTCCCACCCCTCAATGCTAACGAGAATGCCCTTCCAAAGTTCCGCACTCTGAAGAACTTGAGGGAAACTTTGTCGAGCATCCCTCTATTTGGCCCCTCATGTTGTAAACTCCAGTAACCAACGTCCTAGTTTTTAGCTTAGATTTCCTCACGCATACCGTGTTTTGTGAGGGTTCTAACTGCCGTACCGTCCCTTTCGAGCATCAGTGCAAGATTATCGAAACACGCTACTTGGTTCCGTGGAATTTCCAGGGCAATTACCACAATGTGTCTGGTCGGAAACTGACGCTCTGAGTTTCACTGGTTCCTCGTTTTGTCTGAATCTGTTCCCAGCTGATGAACACGTTCTTGGTTAAAACTTTTGTTTGCCTTTGATGAATCCAATCATAATTTTGTGTCTGTCTGGCTGTAACTACTTCTGTATGCGTCTCCTGAGATCAAACAACCCCGGTTGATTAATCGTCCACTGTAACACATTATTACGGTTGTCCACTTCGGTCTTTTCCACTCGTCTGTTGCGGTGGTTTTGCTTCTCTGGTGCTCAGAAACCTTATGCTCCTGACTTAATCTGATTTGGCCAACAGATAAGCATCTGTTTTGGTTCCTCACGATTGTGAAGCATTCCATATGATCACGATGGGATAGGGTCCATCAAATCACCGAAACCGATCAGGACCCATCGAGTGACTTAATCACGACCAGAGCTATACTATTTAGGAAAACAAGCACCAAGTGTTATGCGCAAAATCAAAGTAAAATTTTGAAACCACCTGTCTGGTGGTCAACCAAGTAAACTGGTTGGTTTCTCATCCCACGGTAGCTGCTGCTGACCAGGAACTTCTGATTTCATAGGTGGCGGACTGGCTTAGGTATTTTGGAGTTCAGTCTCTGTCACACCCGGTTCATCTACTAAACAGCGCAGGTAAACAGCTAATCACGAATCAACAACCGTATAGATGACACGCAGTGCCTTTCAGAACCACTTAGGATTGTTTTCAACTGGCTGCCACGTTATCCAACTTTGCTTGGTTGGTGTGACGTAACTAGTGTGTTCAACCATTTTGCCTTCATTTGCTCAGTATTGCCGCCTTTTTCAAATACCCACGCTTAGCATACAGTCTTCTTTCGGCTATTAAAAACATATTGCCCCTAATCTCAAAACCCCCCATATAGACTACTCATAAAAACGTCCAGTGCAAGCCAAAAATAAGCAGCTAAAAATCCTAGTTGCATTCCGTGCTAAGCTCTTTCATTCACGTGACTAGTCGATAATGATTGGTTGTTGAATTATGGGATAAATATAGTCGAACCAAATCGATCGTATCGATCTGGAGTCTATCAGTTGGTCAGTCAGACAGCATGGTATGCCGGCCGAATGTCACGTGTTTGTGGGAAGGTCGTACAGCAATCATAGGAACTGTCATGTCTGGTTTTTCCAGTGAGTGGTTAACTGCTCTTGGCTCACTGATGACCTGAGGAACAGGTTTTCCGAAATTGAAGTTTTGTTCTGCAGTCTGTTATTCGCTGATCTTCACAGTTTGCCAACCCTTGATTTCCTTCGTATTTTCCCTTTCAGAGAGCAACGTGTCACTGGTGTACTGATATTCCTGTTCATTGGACTCTCCGTATTTATGACTAGTCTGTTGGGCGTGAGTTCTAATTATTCTCGTTCACTTGGTGGTCGAAATGTTCATTGATCTTGACAGTTTACTTGTAAAGGAAATTCGAGTGACAGGGTGTTTGTATTATGTGTTGATCAGCTGACTTTCATTAGCACTGAGATGACTTACGTTATTCCCCAAAGTAGTTGTCCTGGGTGCAGGTGGCCTCAGTGGGCCTCCAGGTTTCTATGGACTTGTTTGTTCCATCGCTTGACACCGTGTTTTGACAAACATGGTTAACTCGCCACCCAGCTCTATTCAGTCGACTGAACAGGAGTGGCCAGTCCCTCTTTCTTGCGCCACGAAGAGTGATGGTATGACCGTTAGTGCAGGTGCATGACTTCTCTCTGGTCGGTGGTTCGAAAGATACCGTACACTCGGAAAAATTTACTACAGATTGTCGGTGAACGTTTATGGTCGAAGATGAACTTTTTGGTTGAAATTGTCGTATACAGCTTTGAGGACATCACTTCACATGTGCTCTGTGTATCCCTTCCGAATGATCATGATCCACTGTCATTGACGGACCTATGCTCAGGCATATTGTGCTTCGTTTACGCTTCTCAGTGATTCATTGTTTTCCAGTAGAATCACGGGGAACCCACTCACCTTTTTGCACTGTTCATCCTGCATACTGTGGGGCGTATCATTGATTTCTCGCGGTGAAATTTACAGAAACTTCGAGTTCACATAACCCGCTACAATGTTAACGATATGTTGCCATTTCGAATTGACTTCCTCAGTCACAAGAGTCAGGCACGTTACATTCCTACGTAAAAAGCATCATGGGAAAGACTGAATGTCGAAAGTTGGAGTTGATTCAATTCGAAGGTAAGTAGATGGCCTGAAACAATAGTGTTTGTGTGCTCAACGTTGATAGTGGCCTGACCAACATCGGTTTACAAAACGCCAGCAGCTCCAAGTCTCAGTTTTGTGACAGAGTTTTTGGCAGGCTTGGGAAACGTCAACGATTTTAACTGTTTGTTCGGGAACCGTCAACCGCCAACTACATGAACCGTAGTAACGATAGGTCCGCTTAAAATGGCTTAATCTGTTCTATCTGTGTAAATTTCATTGTAATCTCAGGTGAATCTGTGGATGACATGTGCCGTAGAGTGGTTATATTTGGATTGAGAATAAAACACGAATTCTCCAGTCGCAGAGCCGAACACCTGAAATCGTACGGTTCAGGGCAGGTTTCCCTCTCTTTGTATACCTGAAAGTTTTTAGGCTCAGTTATCAATTGAGCCCAAGAGTAGGCTTCAGCACACTTGGCCCTCGTTGAAGGAAGTCTCAACGTAATTGATATACGCTGATCGATTTCACAGTTTTGTTTGCCTGATTTTTACCCAACTCGGCTCAGTTGGTCGGCTTCGCGTTCTGCTATGGTCACCTACGTGTGTTTCTCAGATTAAACTGTTTCTCTATGTCCTAACCACGTGCGCTCTTCATAGGTCACTGATCGCTGTAACAGTTCTCGGTTTGGCACGATAGTGCGGCGACTCAGATATACGTCTTAGCAATCATCGGATTAATTACTCGCCAAGAATGCCTTGTGATCTGCTGACTAGATTGTGCTGTCACCAATTCCGTGACACCGTCCGAATTTTGAGTTACAGTACAGTATATGTGGCTGGTTGAGTTCTGTGTGCTACAGAGCACTGCCCCTTCTTCTGGAGGTATTCTTTTGGTAGATCTCAGGACGTCTCTCCAACGATCGTGTCTCTCCCTGAGGAGGTGACTTACACAAGCTGAATCGTATGCTTTATACACGATAGTTGTGAAGTTTCATTTGTATCCGGGTTTTGCTTTTAAATAGTTCTCATGACAACGGTATGAATTATTCCACTACACATTAGGTGAAACCACCATGTTGACGATGCCCTGGTATTGATGTGATTCACGTATGGTGAATTTTTCCGGTGTTCTCTACTTCTTCACCTGCATCATGAAAACTGGCCATCCGGTGAACCATCGGACCTGATGAGTTATCATCAAGTCATATCCTCATACAGCAGAAACGTCGCTTATCCGGGTCGCTTATAGAGTTATCGTGCATTCAGCTAACTTAGCTAAATTACGTCGAGCCTGGATTCCGGTTGTGAACCGTTCCCTCTCGGAGCGATGCGTGCGTATCCGAGGCTAAATTAAGTCTTTCGTTGAAATCTCGTCCTGTAAGTGAAGAGAATCGGCACCAAAGAACCGAGAAATCTTCAATTGCGCTTCCACCCTCAGTGTTTCTTAAATTCTGGGATGCCTGTTTGTCCGATGGAGATCTAAGTGGAAAAAATGTTTCTTTGCTCCAGAATCGTCTCCTCCACAAGTAAATTTTATCTTGGTCGACTTCTTGTGAAGGACGCTACTGCACTATGATGAGGTTTCCCCAAGAACTTGAAAGAAATGAGCGCTGTTCACGGTGCCATTCGCGTGAAAGAAAGATCTCCGTACCAGTCACGACTTGGTCGTTGGAATACTCGTTATCATCTTAAACAGGCTACTGGTTTTAGCATGAAAACGACGCGTTATACACTCGGAGCAAGGTGAGAGCCTAATCTGATGTTTCGGCCTGAAAACACTGGATACTGAGCCGCTTTTCTAGATCATCGGTGCTGACTCGCACGAAGCGCTTGTCGATTTCTGATAAAGTGTTCAATGAGGGATGTACGCTTATCCCAGTGAGCGTTGTTGTCGATCGGATTGCATCAGCTAGCTAATCATATCTGAGTTTAACCCACTGGTTTTGGCAGTGTCCAGTGGTACACGGTGGTGCGATTTGATTGTCGACCCTGGCCATCAGCGCACCACTATGTTTGGAATGGTAGGTTAATGGGAACTGTTCTAGCGAATCTTTTGTCGGTCGACGAAGCTATGGCGAGGGCTGATGGGCGATACCTGGCAGTCAAGAGCCGGAGGATGCATATCAGTTAAACTTGGTTGCTAACTTTGTTGTACTTCCTGCATGGTCGAGCTTCTTACCAAGCCAGCTATTCGATTCATGGAAAAGGAGAACGAAATCGCTCGATGACACCAAAGGGCCCAATGGTTTTCGGTAAAACGTTTTACCTTACGAACAATGTCACTGCCTGCTATGCAAATCACATGCCTTGCCGTAAAACCCGTTCGAGTCTGACGTCTTTTTGGCTATTCGGTAAGGTGTGATAAGAATTGCTGTTTGATCCGTTGAAAGGCGCGAGTACTTAAGCCTGATTGATCTTTGTCTTCGATAAGACGAGATCCGGTGCTACGTTCGGTTAAATCTTGGTCTCGGAACTAAGATCTGGAGGTTGGAATGAAAATTATACAAATCTGATGTGCTTTGCATAAGGAAAGCGTGCTAGTACTTGATTGACTAGGAACGGTTGAAATGCTCCATATCTGTGCTTTTCCATATGATTTGTGAGCAGTAACGCTGTGACTTCGCCAGGAAGAAAGATAGGTAGTGATTGAATCCATGGTGAGCCGGTTCCTTGAAAGCGGTTCTCCAAACTGAACAGGTACACTGTGTTCGAGAAGGTCGTTTAAACTTGATAAAACCCGTCCGTTTCTAGTGGAGCTTTTTCTAAAACCGCGCAGATATTTATGGGCCCAATTTCGCCCCAAGAGTTAATGAACTACCGGTGCCAATGAAACCTTGCCGTTCACAAGAAACCTGGATGGGGACCGCGGGACGAGAAAAACCGTGGTCAATGACCCATACAGGTATGGCTGTGGGACGCAGCTAATGACATCAAAGTTATTGCTTTCACTGCGTGGCGTTCACTCCCTGCCATACGGAACAAACAGTGCCAATCAACGTCGGATTGGGCCTTCTTTTGCAACGCATAGCTCTCATTCTCGTATCCTCCTTTCGGGAGACAAAGCACGAGCAGCTGGAACCACTGCACTTCAGTCCACAGTTTTATGCGTCGAATGACGACTGACTAATAACTCCGCATTCCGGGACCTAAATATGTGTTGTTATCCCTTTGAAATGCATTTTATCCCATTAATTTATCATGGGTGGTCCCAGCAATGTTTAGTAGGTATATAAAAAAACCTCTTTTCCGAAACGAACTGCAACGAAAGCTAGGAAACAGAGGTAAATGTTGCAAAATGAATTGTGGTCGTCTGGATGACAGACCGAGTCAGTGGTGGGCTAGAAGACCAACATTGTTTACGGGCAGAAGTGGCACAGTTTTGCGAGAAAAGTGACTAAGTCCTAAGCAATCTCTCGACAAATGACTCAAAAATGGAAACAGCTCAGCAGCGGATTTCTGCGCGTGAACACAGTTTCTCGAAGACATTGGACTTTCGACTTGTTCAATCAGCCATCCGACTACCTGCAAGTCCTTTCCGAAGTAGTCTTTTATCGGATCGTATGTGTTCTGATGTGCCCTGATCCTTCGCTCTCTTACCCATTAATTTGCTCACAAATGTTTTTTTGTCCCATGGTGTTCAGCGCATCCCAATGGCAGTACTCTACGGAATTTTCCTCTTCATGGGTATATCCTCGCTGGCCGGCGTGCAAATGATTCAGCGTATTGGTCTGATCTTTATGCCAATCAAATATCAACCAGATTACTCCTATTTGAGGTGAGTTTTCATGGCCATGCCTGTCTGCTCCGTTTGGTTGTATATCCTTAGTCTTCCAGCGGGCTGGTTGGTAGATTCAGGTCTCGCATTCTAGCTAATGACCCTGAGGTATGTGTAAACTCAATAACGGCGACACACTGGGAAGATCATCCCACTCGTTTGGCGTGAATCATCATCATACCCAACACAAGAATGAAGGACCCAATACAATGGGCGGTGGAATACTGTGACTCTCCTATATACTCAAACACAGCTGACATGCGCTCGAAACTGGCAATGCCCCTTTCTGCGCTGCCTATGACCTATAACAGTCTATGAAGACGAAACATCTAGGGGCCAACAATGTGTGTGGTTTCCGGGAACACGGTTAAATTTAGCGCTAAATGGCACAAAACTTTCCTCTGACTGGTTAAGAATAGACGAGCACAGTGCTGCACGGTACAGCGAATTGCTTACTGTGATTTGACTGACTGGGCGTATGATATAACTCAGCTGACTTGAACGATCTGCGTGTACGAAATTTCTGTATTCATTCCCATTCCAATAGAAGATTTTCTGAACTGGTATTTGTTAGGTAGAGGTGTTAGGTGATGTACTGGTCATGCACTACACTAAGCTGACCGAAAGGAGTGCTGTTCCCCATGCCCAATTCAGAGTTGTGCAAGTGTAAAGTGGTCAATCTGGCAAACAGGTATTAAAGTGACTTCGAAAATTCTTGGTACGGTGGGTGCGACTCACCTCTCGCGACGGGGTCCGCGTGGTCCTCTTTGTGAATGTTCAGAGACGCTTCACTCTATGGCTGCCAATCGATGTCAGTGATGTCCTGGTTGCCACACATTGGATTGATTGTGATAGGCTAGCAATAGGTCCCCTCCCTATCCTTAATATGGCTTCCAAATAGGTAGTGACTGTCAGGCAGCAAAGTGTTAGCGTTGACAACTCATCTTATGCTGACGACGGTGGCTAGTACCCAAAATTTGAACCCTACAGTCTGGCAGAGCTGTTTTCGTTCCACCTCAGGGGAAAACTTATTTCGCTTAGAACCTTAGGTCAACCAGAATGCCATGTCATGGAAATTTTGGGCCTGGGAAGCTAACATCTACGGTGATACTCTGGCCAGGTATGTTCGTCGGACAACTTTGTTTACATTTCCCGTGTGTTTGTGATATCTCCCAACGTCATGGAGTCCATCTGCAGTGGTCAATCTGGCAAACAGGTATTAAAGTGACTTCGAAAATTCTTGGTACGGTGGGTGCGACTCACCTCTCGCGACGGGGTCCACGTGGTCCTCTTTGTGAATGTTCAGAGACGCTTCACTCTATGGCTTCCAATCGATGTCAGTGATGTCCTGGTTGCCACACATTGGATTGATTGTGATAGGCTAGCAATAGGTCCCCTCCCTATCCTTAATATGGCTTCCAAATAGGTAGTGACTGTCAGGCAGCAAAGTGTTAGCGTTGACAACTCATCTTATGCTGACGACGGTGGCTAGTACCCAAAATTTGAACCCTACAGTCTGGCAGAGCTGTTTTCGTTCCACCTCAGGGGAAAACTTATTTCGCTTAGAACCTTAGGTCAACCAGAATGCCATGTCATGGAAATTTTGGGCCTGGGAAGCTAACATCTACGGTGATACTCTGGCCAGGTATGTTCGTCAGACAACTTTGTTTACATTTCCCGTGTGTTTATGATTTCTCCCAACGTCATGAATGTCCATCTGCCGCAAGTTCTGACGCACTGGAAAATGTCCTAAAATCAAACTAGTGAAAGTTTACGAAGTGGGAGTTTCTTATCAATCTGTGAAAAACTCCGCACTTTTCTCCACTCTCCTTTCACATCTCCCCCGGTGGGTTTCAGTCCATACTGCGTCATTTGCGGACGTCACGAACCTCCAGGTTTCATTTTTTTCGATGATTGTGGTGGAAATCACCTCAGGTTTTTCAGCAGTTTCTATTTTCCACAAATCTTTATACTAGGCACACAGACAGTTAAACCACGCTGGAATATCATCACGTTCCGGTCATCATGTCAGTCTTTCTGATCTCCTTTGTCACGCCCTAAAATCGGTCATTTTCAGCGTCAAACAATAAACATGCTCAAATTGATGAATGGGAATGATAATTCTCTTGCGGTTGTTCTAACTTTGCTAAATCCGGTGTGATAGCCATTCCCGTATTGTGCTCTTGTTTCGTTGGCAGACATGTTCCTCTTCGTCGTGTTCACATGTTCACCGCGATCCAAGTGACCTGTTTGGTGATGCTCTGGGTGATCAAATCGGTGGATGCCGTCGCCATTCTATTCCCCATCATGGTGAGTAGCAGGACAGTTGTGCTATTCGGCAAATCGTCGACTTCTTTTTTTGGCGATATTTGTGCTTTATCGTGCTGGAGAACAGTTCTTCTATCGTGTCACTTATTTTGTGTTTGTTTGTCCCATTATTTGGACGTGAACTGAACTTCTCGTGGATTTTTGTGTCTTCTAACAAGGTATTACTAATTTGTCAATAACTCAAGGGAATCGAGGAATTTTTTTCGGGCGAGATTTGCCCTGTAACTGAGGTCACTGTGGCCTGTATTCCAATCTCAACCCTCTCTGGAAGTGCCAGCAAAGCGCACCCGATGAATCTCTAGATGACATCAGTGTGATTTACTGGTGCCCTTAGTTCACCAACTCACCGCGAGTGATTTCTACGAGACGTTGATTCAGTCCGACCGTGTTCGGGAATGCTGGTGCACATACCTTGCAATCGGTTCGGATGGCAGCCGAGTCTTTTTTCGTCCATAATATGGGTATATTCAAGACCAACCCCTCTAATGCGCCCAGCGCTTTACCCATATGAAACTTGTCGTCTGGCGTGCGTAGAACAAAATCAAACCATTGCAGATGACATTTTTGGTTTCAAGTGGCTGGTTGTGAAGCGAATCGGGCGGGTTTTTTCTATTCTAGGGTTAAACTCAGCTCAGCTTGACGTGCGTTCTTGTCACATTCCATCACGTGGTCGCACTGCGCACCTAACATGCCGTTACAAAGTGCAGCTTGGTGGCACAACAGCAAAGCCATCAACAAGGCGATACGGAATGTTTCCTTGGAGGACAGCAAAAAAACAAATAGGCATGCTCGAGGTTTGCAGTGCACATTGCCTGGTGACAGTTGTAGTATTCCCCCGGTGGATAGTCTTGTCAGTTTCTGGTCAGATAACGATTTAAATCACTCTACTCATGTGCCAGCGACATGGATTTTCATTTAGTGTTGAGTAAAGCATGCATACTTGTTAGACAGGCAGACGAATACATAAAACCTAGAGAAAACCCTTGTCGTATTCGTTATGTCTCGGATCAGTTACTTGAACCTGGGAGTAGCGGTGATAAGCGATGCAGGATATTCGGACTGGCTGTGATCATAACTTCTCCATACCTGAATTGTACCACAGCTTGTTATCCATAGGTTTTCAAACAGCCGAAGTTTGTTCCAGAGATCAGTGACAAGAGTCGGTGCGAATTACTGGGATGGGCGTCCCCGGTGTCCGAGAAAGTGTCTCGAGTGTCGTACCAACTGGACTATCAAGGATGTTCGTGCAGCAGGTTTAGTTGGAAAGTATACTAAACCAAAGCAGAGAATCGGTTGTCTCTCATGTTAACACCAACATAAGTTATGGATCAGTCTATTTCTTCAAGCTCCTGATTCCTTCTCAAGGCTGCGTACCTACCACAAGGAATTCTCGCAAAACCTTGGCAAAGAACGTGGATTTCAACAGAGAAACTACGATATTTGCCTTTGACACAACTGCGTGTTGCCCATCTTGTCTATTCCCGCTCCCGTTACTCCTCGCTTTCTTCTCTTCCCCCTAGGTGTTGGCCATGTGTTTCATCCGCAAAGCTCTCGATTTCATCTTTACGCAAGATGAACTCAAATGGCTGGATGATATTTTGCCTGGAAACAAGGCAAAGAATCGACCGCGCAACGTCTATCGAGTGAGAAGTTCAAACGATGTGCTAAAGGTAAGAAAATGTCTTGTTGATATGTAGGTGGATTCTCGGAGAAAGCACCCGAATCTAACTGGTGTTGGCTAACTAACAGCGTAGAATTGCCCATACATAACTTCGCCATATAATACCGTTATCGACTGACACTTCAGGCTCTATTGAATCGCTGCTACATCTTTTTTGCAACGATGTTTTTTTTATACGTGATTTCCTATTATCGCGTAGCTGTGACTCGGTTCTGCCAGCCAAATACAAGTTCCGGGAGCGAGTGGTACAAACTTCTTTCAGAATAAAGACCGCTGAAACCTTTTCCCTCAGCCACAATCCAGCACGAAATCTCCCACCGAGAGATTTGACCCCCAGGAGGGTCTCGAAACGTTCTTTCCCCAGCTGTCATCTTTTCGATAGGATAACCATATGAAATTGACTTGTTCCACAGAGAAATATGTAACCTGTCATAACCCTTGGAATATGACTTCTAATGGGGTTGTCCCTCTGGTTTACGGGTAACGATAATTCTTAAGTCAGGTTGAGGATCGGAATTGTGGCAATAAAATATCGTCAATGTGCGGACAGTGTCATCTCTATTACTAACGAAACGTTTGCAGGCTCGGTGAGTAGACCATCCGAACTGCCTAAATTCCGCAACATCTCACGTATACCCGTTGTAAGAGCTGTTCACGGAGCTAGGGTTACAGGAAACAGTCAAGCAGTTGATTCCCTCACCCGAAATGCCGCAATAAGACGTGAAAAGGTAAAGTCCTGTTTGAATAGAGAAACGTCTATGGGCCTGCATACAGTTTTCTCTCCTTCAACGCGCGATCCAGTTGTAAATGCCCGCAAAAATGAATAGCTACCAAACCGGTATCGTAAGCGCGGTTCGACCACAGCTCTTGAAATACTAGTAAGCAGGTTTTTTTGTCGACTTTATTTGTGGAACCAAGTATATCTTGTTAAAACCGTTGAAGGCAGTTGGTGGGTAATGGATTTTCGACACAAGTTCTACGGATAACCTGTGAAGTCAACCACCTTGAGGGTTTCTGCGATTTCCACCAGACGCCTATTCTCTTACTTTGGCTTCCAGCAATAGGATAACCTCGTAACCATAGTCGAAATACCACGGCGGCCGCAGTCAACGACCGCTTTCCTGGATGAGAATCGGACGACGAGACTAGCTAAATGTACATTTTCCCGTGGCCGAGAAGTCTATACCAGGCGATTAATGGGAATGCCATGTGAGAACAATGAGATGGAGGATTCAAAGCAACCGAGCTTTGAATCCATTTGTTTTTTTCTCTGCTCCACCGCTTTATCACCATTACTTTGTCCTGCCCAGCGATCGAAACGTGGTGCACTAATCTGCGCTCCATGCGTGAACGTTCGCTTTGTTAAATTGTCCACATGCTCTTTTTTACAGGACGACAGACACCTGCTTGGTAGTGGCCTACAGCTAGAACAAATACCCGAAAAGGTCAGTCCCATAAATCACCCATGTGTTTATTTGCCCCCTAACTACAAGCCATTCATGGCATCTGAGATGGTCATTTTTATTCCAGCACGGCACGGTTGCTTTTTTAAACGGAAACAGTTCAACTCCTCTATGTTCTTTAGTGCTAAATGGGTTGAAAGATTTGTCATTTGGTATTCAACAGTCCTTTTTGGATGAACCTAGTAGTAATAACTGACCAATGAACGACACGCTGTTTGTGTCATCTCTTGTTGTTTCGCCATGTAATGGGATCCAACAGAATATAGCTCTTGTTCCCAAATTTCTTCAGTCGCCTGACCAACACATGATCAATCATGTCATCACTGTTTGGGTCCCTTAAACGATTAATCCATTATGAGTTTACCTTGAACGCATTTTCACCCAATCCCGTCCCGATTTTGCCTGATCACACACGAGAAGTTTTTCATCAGCCATAAATAACCCACCAAACGTGCGTGAACAGAGACGTGATCAAACTGTAAGAGGCTGAAGCAACCGTTGGTGAGGAAATTGATATTTTGTGGGTTAGGAAAGAACAATAACACTGTTTCTGCTTGTAATTTGAAATTTCACAATTTCCGCGTGTACTAAATATCGTGATCCCGTGATCATGGGCCAACACGAAGGAAGATTTGTTTCACTTCTCTTGGTGCTGGTCAGTCTTTGAAATCTGAGGGGTCATTCACCACTTGTCAACCATCTATACGTAGATACCTTCGCGGTAGATTTTAACGTGTCGTTTAGTTCCTCCTGCATTAATTGTGCTCACTTGAATTCTGTATTATGGTGGGAAACAACATTGGGCAGAGCCGCTCATTCTCGTCCTAAATGTGTTCATCTTCTACTCCTCATCAATGTTGCCCGACTTAAGAAAGTGTGTTCAGCTGGTGACAATATCCAGTAGTTCCCTTTAAATTCTGGACGCATCAGAAAGGCATTTGTAAAATGGGTCTTTGTACGTTCTCACGAGGTTCTTACATAATGGTATCAGGTTTCTAGATGATCACCTTGTGGATATTCCTACTGTGACTGCGTGATATTTCCCATGATTAAAGGAGCATTTACGCTGTATTTCGCCTAATACAGTGCTGATCAGCCGCTCGTGTTCAAACCACTAACCGGGAAGTCGCGGGTTGCAAACTCCCTTGATTTTCCTGAGATGCGGACTACTGATGCTTCCCTCTAGGAATGGAACAGCTGTGCCGTGGTTCTTGGCTTTTCAGCATAGATTAGCTTCACTTATACTAAGAAACCTCAATTGGTAATCCCACCCTCGAGGGGCATTCCGGCAGTCCATGAGCCACCAAATGTGTTGTGCATGACCTGTCTACGGCTATATGTCAACGCTTCATGTACCAACTCGAAATAATTTGTGCAGTCTGTGGCCATCATAGCGAAGATGATATCGTCGGATTCAACTATCACGAATGTTGCTTTTTCAAACATTGTTTCTGAAGTCAGTAGATTGGTGACCGTATATCAGTTTTAGCCATTTGTGCAGTAAAAACACCTTATTTACGTTAAGGTATGATTGATACAAAAAATTGATGAAGAGCTACTAAATTGCACTCTTTCACCGTAGTTGCTCTGTGTACGCTCTACCTACGTGTATACTCCCAGTACAGTGTGTTGTCTCGATCTTCTCGGAGTGTAATCCGAGTTTGATTGACTTTATTAGGCGCTACTTGACTTTCTATCTCGCAGTGACTTGTCTTTTCACTGCCATCCAGCGCATTAACATCGCTGAAGAGGTTGCAAAAACATCTATCTGGCGTCAGCTGAGTGGTGGAAACGTGAAGGACACTTTGAAATCTCACACGTAAGTACAACTTCATTGACCATGACTAGATGTATTCAGTCCTTACGTCAATATCTTTGTTGATGTATGCACGTTTCGTTCGGCTTCCAGATGAAACACCAATCATTACTCGTTGGTTCATCTTAGTCGCTGCTCTCTGGATTGACCCTTGAATCCTTTTTTCTCCAGAAAACCCAGTTTCTCTCCGAAACCTTGGTGGTAGTTGTGACTTGAGGGTTACCAGCTTGGCGTTTGGCTGGGATTTCAATCGTTTGAAATGGGAAACCATTTCAGATGTTGAAATCAACTGGTTATGCCTTGCGTACGGAATAGCAAACGGGATGACATCCTGTAAAATCAGCACTTTCATAGTAAATCGGTCTATTTATTTGGATCAGTTGCACCTGATATCCTAGAAGAAAGCAGTTTAATCTGCGATTTCTACGGCGTCGTGAAAGAGTTTTGGGGAAACCATATTAATTCCCAGCTGAAGGCCGACTGCAATGGAGAAACCCCATCTGTTTTCACTCCCGTGAGAAGTTCTAGCAGATAATCCGAAGGTACAGCAGTTTTTTCATCCTCTCCGTTAGGACGAACGAAGAGCAATAGGCTGTTCAGAAATCTCGAAGATACCTCAACTGAGCTGAATTGACGGTGCACTGATTTACAACCAAACATAGGGCAAAGTAGGAACATTATAACGGGATTTCACAGATGGGTAAAGTACACTCCTATGTGGCACTGCAAACCTTCAGTAAACCACAGTCTTTTGAGGGTAAATCTTGGTGAAGAATCTGGCATGTCTCCATGATACTAGTTAAATGGCGGCCCTCTGATAGTAACTCTTCTGATTGTAACCAGTCGTTTAATTCCGCTTACGTTAAAAACGAAAATCAATTTGGGGTCTCGATGGTCTTGCTTTTTTAGTCGCTTGGCTCGTAATATTTCTGGAATTTCAGTGGTCAATTACTGTGCACTAGTAATTGAGGTGAGCTAAATTTACCATGCTGATATCCGGTGACATTTCAACGTTCCTGGCGATGAAAAGTATGGGAATCTTCCACTTTACTGTCTGAAATTTAGCGTCTTTTATTTTAGCCTACTCACGGCAAACAAGTAGTACAATATTTGGCTCCAAATATTCGCTGCGCTGTCTGGATCATCCAGTAGTCATTTGAGCCCACGATTCAGTCTTTCTACCTGGTTTTTGGTCAAAAGGATTGTTCGTATACCATCTAGAGAATTTACATCGGAATCTCTCTAGTGACCGTTACTGTAAATGGATCTTTAACAGCTTGTTCGTTAACCAAGTTGAGTAGCTGACGACATGATGTGCAGTTATCGCCAGTAGCTACCCGGAAGGACAGGAACTCATTCACTGCAAGGTTATCTTATCCAATCAGAAACAGGTAGTTGACGGATGTTTGTTGGTTATTGCCATTCTATCAACAGATGGAAATTAATAAAGGCAGCAGATCACTTCGAGGGTCGGATCCGAGTGAATGAGAGTCTGGCTGCGAATGGTCCGGATAGTTTGATGGGATTATGCACCATATGAGTGTTTCACGAGTGGGGTTCTGAAAAAATATACCTGTTTTTGGTGAACTTTTTGCATGTCTAGAAATAGTCCTCTGATAAAATATCTATCAACTGGATGATCGTATCAGGCCTCACGTCGGGTCAGCCTTGTCGGTATGATAGCATCTGTCTGTGGAAAAGTTTATGACTTGACGAGCTGAGAATATATTTACGATGAACAAATTCTCCAGATGTGCAAAATATGTTATACCTGGCAGCTGTTGAGCTACCTCATCTCTGTCCTGACCTTTGGTGGATCACCCCCATCCATAGAGGAGGAAGTTAGCGCAGTCGTTTCGTCTGAGAGAGTCACTGTGGTCAGCTTTAGCGGTAGCCTCCGTGCAAAGCCGTTCTGCGTTATTTTTCGGGCCTTGTGGTCATAGGTTTGACCAGTTAAGGTAAGCTGTGTTGATCAGCTACACGCGTGGACTGACTTCTGAGTCACCCTTGACTTCGTTGCGAACAGTCGATCTTGTTTTGTATCACTTGCGTATGCGTAACAGATGGCCAGTTTGATCGGTGTGAAGGACGTCACAGTCAAAGAGAAACCTTCTGAATGTACGTTGATTATTAAGATATACACACGGAGTCCAGGTTTAATTCATTCATAATGTGATGCTTATGGTATCACAAATGATTGCCATCCACGTCGCTAGCCATATGTTGATTTCAGAGGCTAAAAAGCGAATGCTTTGTTATGATGGGTTTCGATTCGACCCCCAAACGATGGGTTATAGCCCTTTGTACGGCGCCTGTTTATGCCACGGCTGTTTGCAACTGTTCTAGGTCAGGCGTCTTTAAAAACAACAACAAGGGATTCAGACCGGACTAGAGCTTTTCCTTCGACATTTATCACTGACATCTCCTGAGTTAACAGAAGTAATATTGAGTTTGTCAGATAACAACGTTGCCGACCTTTGGAAAAATAGGACTTATGACCGTCTGCTTACTGAAAAGTGCCCGCAACTATGTGGCTTTGTGACCGGTAGAAGTTATCAAATTCCTGAATGAAACGGTTCTTCGTTTGAACATCGTCCACTACACGTTCCATGCAAGGACACTCTTATCACGAGTGGTCGCAGAAATCTAACAGACTTGGCAAGGTAGGTCAAAGCTGGACATAGGTCAACAAGTAAATGGGCTCGAACTGAAACACAGGTCACAAATGAACGTCATACTCATGCTGTGTTACGTTCACAAAAGTTCACTGGAACAGGTATTCGATTGCTTTTGTAAAGTACGAATACTAGTGAGCAAAAAGATGGGCGAATTCCCCGACGGAAGCCGTTTCAAATAGAAAAAGTATATTTCGCTCAAACTGGCGATCTCTGCTGTCTAAGGGAATGCCCCGGTTCCAGCCGACACAAACACCGTACCGGTTCTCTCAAAAACTGCCACTAAGATCCTTTTCTCGGGCGCTCTACGTAGGACCATGAGCCGTAACGGTGTTCTGCGAATAGTAGTAAAACACGGTTTTGTCTAAAACCCCATATGAAGGAGTTCAAAGGTGAAATAACCTGAAGATACAAACTGGATTCACTTTCGCCTACTCAACTCACGGAAATATTCAACATTATTACGCACTGGTTGCTTGGATTTATGACTTATAGACCAAAAAACAATTTCTTCTGAGTTTTGTTGGGACACGCTGTTTGATCTGTTCCCCCGCTTATTTTAGAAAAACGAAATCAAAGGATTCTGGCAAGCGAGGTCGTCGCCGGAAGACGCGCGACAGTGTGAATGCCGATGGGCCCAATCCCAAGATTCTGGGGGTTGATCAGGAGTCAGTAGATGATGGCGCTGAAGTCAAGACCAAGCCAGTATTGTTCTCGATTGACCCTTTGGGTCGACCACTTTCCATGGATCCATTGGCTGAGCGAAGCACACCAAATGCCCCTTGGGATGCTGGGAATGACAGTCCGGGACATGGTGCTGTCGATTCTAGCCACATTTTGTCTATGCCTCAAATCACCATCAATCCGCCATCAACGCACGGCTCACCAGAGACAACACATCGCAACATTACCCACAACTAGATATGGATAGAACACACTTTGAAGGGGCAGCATTTATGTATTGCTCCCTTGAATGCGGTCCACACACACACAACTATGCGTGTGCATGGCCCTCCACTCATCAATAGCTGATCGCCTCCGTTACCTGACTCTCTACAAAACCAAGAGTGCTCATTCGAATCGCGCCATCTGTTTGTTTCTTTTTCTACTGTTATTTTTGTAGCATCCACCCCGTTCAACCTGTTTCGTACTTTGACCACCACTGCTCCTCTCACTAGTTCTACCACTGTCATCTACTAGATGAAAATTTTGCTAGATTTATCACTGTAATTGTGACGTTTGAACAGAACTACTAATCACATAGATATCAACTTATGGAGACACGTGACTGGTGGCCGTTGCGCGGTTTCACACGGCCCATAAAACAAGCCACTTTATCCCCTCTCTATTGTAAAACGATTGTTTTTCTTTAGGCTCTACTTAGAGCATCTTGCCTCGGTCCGTTTGGGTCCATTGATGTCAATTCCTTATCATCAGTAGAGCAGCATTTTGCTAGAATGAACCTTACTCCTTCCGGGTAGTGTTTTACGTTGATGCTGCTCACACACTACTTATCAGCGCTGGAGATAGTTCATCGCTCTTCACTTGCGTACGATTGCCATACGGACCTTCCTATGACTTCTGTCATTATCACCACTGTTGTTTTAATACAGTCAAAATATTCTTACTATTTTGAAACCTTCTCCCGTCCTCACTTGTGGTGCATTGGTTGCCTCTGTTCCGCACGCAGCTTATGTGTATACTCAGCTGCCGAATCGCTCCTGATGATTTGAAGAGAAGAACGGCGGTTGTTTCCGGTTGCTAGCTCATGACTGTGGACCAATGCCACTTGAAATCTGCATTGCTACAACCAGAAATCTTCAGAGTTTGTCAACCAATGCCATTTGCGCCCACACAATCCTTGAACTGGATAGCCTTTCGGCACTTCCGCCTGCTCCTACACGACGTCTCGGTCTGGTCCTGTCCCAAAATTTTGTGATATTTCCGGTCGTATTAGTTTGGTTGCATATAGATGAATCCTTCCCGCCTCGTTTCCCTTACGTTTATCGCTTGCACACTCAATAAACTCTGATCTGCCGTATATCAATCCATTTGTTTATTTACTTGAAGCAGTTCATTAAACTTCTACGGTTACTATGCTCA